AGATCCTACCAACTATTTCTTCCACCTCTCAGATCTCCCTCCTGTGGACAATTTCTCACCTGCTCTGTCCTCTGTTCTCCTGTGTTTTATATCCCTGTTACCCTCCACTTTCTCTCTCACAGATTTATATCCCTGCTACACTCCTCTGGCTCCCTTTTGAACAGGCTCCACAATTGAATTTTTTTCTTTTGACTGTTTGGTGTGGAATTCTCCTCCGTTTGATATTTTATGTACGACTTGTTTATTTGCATCTGATGTTTGAAGTGCATACATGCAGACGACGAGCTTGTGAGGACGCAGGTGCCTGATATTACTCCTGTGACCACTGCCTGTGTGACCTCATGTGTCAGAACTGCTGGTCCACTGAATTCAGCTATTTTGCCCTGCATGGTACCAGGGCTTCAGATCGTTCCTGACCATTCTGGATTGAAGAACAAACCTCCTTTAAGTTACCTTAAAGGAGGCAAGGTAACTTTAGGGATGGCCTCTTTAAAAACAAAGAGAAAAGAACCACAATTTCCACATGAGATTCGTGAGTTGAATCTGTGGTCTGTGTGATTTGGTGAAATCATTGACCATGTCCCTGTGAAATTAACCCAATGATATGCAATCATTAGCTTTTGGGGACTAGAAAATCCATGTTAAAGCTCAAAAAACCAATAACACTGTTGTGAATTCTGTGCATGCCCTCAGCATGAAGACCATTCCTCTTTCCCCAGGCTGTGTCAGATCTCTTCTCCTGCTCATGTTACAGAACCGCTGGGATGTGTGATTTCCGCATACACTATCCGATCCTGACAGCCTGTGTTCCTCTGCTGTTGCCGTTCTGGGGAATCCTGTTGGGATAAAAACAGAAGGAGGGGAATTTAAATCTGATGTTTGATTAAAAACCAGTGTTAGACCGCAAGTCCTGAAAAAGCCTGTGATTTCAAAAAAGGCCTCTTGTCCAGAGGTCTGTAGCCTGGGGCTGAAGAAATTTTCAGGGAAAAGTGGTGCTGTGTACAGTATGGTTGTCAGTGTCTGGGTTCAGTTGGAGACGCAGACAGATTTCCCAAGATGTCAGGAATTTTGCTCTCAGACCACTGTGCTTTCCTTGGAAACAAGATTCCCTCTATTTGCCTTTCAGACATCATTTCCAATCATTTCTAAGCTGCTGCACAAAGAGATGTGTTTGGCCTGGACCCAAACTTGATTGCTTTGAAATCACCAGCTGCAGGAGAAATTAGACAAGCTGGAAAAGAGAGGTGGAGGGAAAGTGGCATCAGGAATGAATACAGGAGGGACTTCTTTCCACAGAAGGATGGTGAGAGAGTGAAACAAGCTGCCCAGACATGTACTGTAGCTGAAGTTGCATGCAGATTATTTAGTCTGAAGGAAGGACCAGAGCCACTACCCAAGCATCCTGTGATCTCACCAGAGGGGGAGGCAGCACAGAACATCGCTCAGGATCATCATGTGAAGCCAAATTTAGACGTTCTAGCACAAAATGAAACTGAAATGCTCTTGTTTTTCTGTTGAGGTCATGGGAAGAATATGGAAAATATCCCAGCAGTGCATTTCCCTGCCTCCCACAGAGTGCCCTGTCATTTGAGAAAGGGGACGTGTGGAGGAAAACCTGGCCTGGAGTTCCTGTGAGGTGAAGGGAGATTCATTCCATGAGGGAAAACTGGATCTGAGGACATGTTTCTCCAAGATTTGCAGTATTTCTGCAATAAATGATTCAGAATAAATTGTGACTCATTTCTGTCTTGAACTGGTGACTGCAGCCCCTCACTAAAAGCTAATTCACTAAGAACCCATTTAGATGCCTGCTCAAGTCACCTGCTCCAAATTAACACCTAGTCAGTTCAATAACTAATCATACAGCTTTGTAATATTAATTATACTGAAGTTCCTCAGCCCTTGAACAAGTAAAGGTTTATTCCATGCTGAAAAGAGAAGAAAAGAAACACTTTTCAACGTGGAATAATCCTTTACTTGTTCCTTTGCAGCCTACGCTTGCTGACGCAGCTGCCTCCTCGATCTTACTCAGCACTTATTTACACAAAGGGTGACGGGAGAGTGGAACCAGCTACCAGCCGTGTTGTGAAAGCAGATGCCCTGGATTCTTTCAAGAAAGAGCTGGATGAGATCATTGCATCAGTTAACTACTAAGCACAAAAGGCCCTCTTTGTTTGTAGCCATTGTCATGTTCTTGAAATAAAGTTTGTGGCTCTGATGTGGGCAGCAGCTTCTCCTGGTGGTTCACAGCATGACCACGGATAAGCGCATTGTGCTGGTGGGGTGCCCTAAGCGAGACGGAGCTGCATGTTTGTCTCAGAGGTGTTTGCCTGTATAAGAGTGACAGAGGGTGCTGTTTCAAGCCAGGACTCCAGCTGCAGATCCTTTCCTCTGACTTGGAAATGGAAATAAAAAGGCCCATCTTGTCCCATCTAAACCACAAGTGGGAAGACCAATAGCAGTAGTGTAGAGCAGTGGTTGGAGTTCTGGCATCTAAACCAGATGGTTCAGGACCCTGCTATACTGTGTGATTTGTAATGTGTTTTGTAACTATACAGGTTGCGTCACAGAAAAATTCTACAACCTCCGCAAAGCAGATTCTGTAAGAATGAGACACAGATTAAGAGACATAAAATGGCAGGAGAGATTAAAAGCAGTGGAAAATGAGTGCATGAAGCGCAGAGACGGTTTATCCCAAGAGTTAACAAATTAAAAACTAGAAAATCCATATTCCAAATGGTTCAATGGAAAGGAGAAGAGAGTGCTTTTTAAAATAGCTGAAAAATAACAGGACCCAGGACAATGAATTATAAGCACGGGTAATAAAGGATATTAGAAAGGCCAAGAGAGAAACTGAAAGGAATAAGCACACTGGAGGCTAAAACAAATAAATTCTTTCAGCAAACAAAACCCATCGAGGATTAAGTCAAATGAACAACAATAGTTCTAGATGATGAAAGGGAAATGGCAGGTGTACTAAAGGAGTATAAAAATAGCCAGTTAACAGGTGATAAATGTCATATCGGTTCTGAGTAGCGTGAACCACAGCTGTATAAACACCCTCTCTCTCTCCAGCTGATGGAAGATGAATGTTTGCAAGCCAAAGGAGGCCATCTGGCATATTAAGCCTCCTTGGCAGTTAATTGATACAAAGATCTCATCCAGCTGTTTCCTGAAAGAAGCCAGCATACCAGCTTCAACAACATAACCGGCTAGTTTGTTCCAGACTCCCACCACTCTGTGTGGTGTGTGCTAAAGAAGTTCTCCTTGATCGGCTCCCACAAGATGACCGCACAGCTTGTTCCATACTCCCACTACCCTTTGTGTAAAGATGTACCTCCTGACCTCAGCTGTAAAAGCACTTTCACACAGTTTCCACTTGTATCCTCTGGTCTGCATTTCTGATGTTGTCATGAAGCAATTGTTCAGGCTCTTATCTTAAGTGAGAAGCTAGACTTCCCTCCCTTGACTTGATTATGGAAAGTGGAACAAAGAATCACGGGACTTCTCTGACTTATAAATAGCTGACCATGTGCTGGTTGTTGCTGAAATTGTGTGTGTAAGTTCTCCTGGAAGTCTGTCATCTAGTGTCCTGGAGTGGGACACAGCTTGTGAAGACCCCTGGAGTGGGACTGAGTGGGAAACCTCAGTCCAGCACCCAGGTAGATATAATAATTTAAACAATTTATTGGTCCAGTACTGGGGTAGCACATTCCCTGTTATACTATAAGACATTCAGGGTGTTGTGCACTGTACATGTTTGATACTGTGTTTTTGTGTGTGCATATTGTTTAGCCAAATAAGAAACCTTTGTTTTGCACCCAACTCTGCTTCGTGTCTGATTACTGCAATTAAATTTAACAAGAGTTCAGAGAAGTGCGCCTGGCTGTTCTGTGCTGTTATCAGTTCGTGATCTTCAGACCGCCTGTAATGCAGAAGCCTATTGTGTGTAATCAAAAACCTTTTACTAAGTTCACAACCTCTATAAGCGCAAATATATTTATCACAGTGCGCAGATCTTTACTTGATACAGCAAAGAGGCTTGAGAAATATCACACAACAAAGTGAGTGACAGGAGGTCAACGAGCTCTCGTTACAAACCGAGGGAGCAAAGTGAAAGTTTCACAGTAATTGAAAGTAGTTATTATTGGATGTGCTGTAACTGGGGTGACTGCTTCCATTTTATACATAAAGTGGATTTATACAGAGCTTCAGGTGCAAAGGGTCACCACACTCCAAAGAGAAAGAACAACCTAAGTGCAATTAGATTATTTTGTAAATGCAGCAGGATAG